TTGATACATAATAAATCACAAGGTACGTACACAAACAAAGATTACAGTGATCCTCCTAATGCCCAAATTTTGATTCCCTTTCAGTGGCAAGTTCTCCTTTGATCCCCGCTCCCCCCAAATTATCACAATATGGTTGCTTTAGTCGGAACCACTCTGAGGGGAAATGCCTTCTGAGCTATAAATCCATTTTTGTCAGACATGTCTAAATCTTCAGAATTCATTCCATCCGCAAGCTTCCAATCAAAACGGTGGAGAAGAGATGCACTCATGAGATGCACCATTCTAAGAGACAGTGACAGTCCAGGACAAGCCCTTCTTCCAGCACCAAATGGGAGAAACTCAAAATGTTGCCCTTTCGTCATTTCTATTTTTCTATCCAGGAATCTCTCGGGTACAAATGAGTCTGGATCGTTCCAAGAGGTTGGATCCCTATTAATGGCCCATAGGTTCAGAAATATTTCAGCATCTTTCGGCACCACGTATCCGTCGATTTCAAGATCATCGCTGGGTTGACGCCCTGTTAGGCTCACTGCCGGGTGTAATCGAAGAGTTTCTTTAACCACTGCCTGTAAGTATGGCAACTTTGACATATCTGATTCTTGAATTATGTCACCCTCCCCAATGACCTGTCTAATTTCTTGTACAACTTTTTCCATTTTTTCGGGATGTCGGAGTAATTCTGCCATGACCCATTCTATAGTGATGGAACTGGAATGCGTTCCTGCAATGAATAAATCCTGAAACATGCATGCAGAACTACGTGTTAGTGAACAGGTTTTTATCAATTTTTCCAATTATAAGAACGAAAACATGCATGCAATTAATTAATTTGAACAAAGCAAGAATCATGCATACATATAGAAATCGAAATAGTTTCTAAAAATCAGGGCATTAATTTGGAAAGATGAAAATTATATTTAATTAAATCCTTGAATTAACACCCACAAGAATAAGTGAATGCATGCAATAGCCAAATGAAAAGAAGAAAAAGTTTCGAACTCACAAGAATCAAATGCTTGATGTCATTGTAGCTCAAATCAGCTTCACCCTTGTGACACTTGTCAAGGAAGACTGATAATAAGTCAGTACTCTTCTTTGAAGCAGAAGAAGAAGCCGAAGTAGCAAATGACGATGATGATGAGGATGATGAATATTCGCTTTCCTTTAACCTCTCATTAATGATACCATCAAACCTTTGAAGCAATATTCCAAAACAGAAGTTCATTTGGCGCCTGATACCCTGTGGATCAATGGGTCGAAGCACCGGAAAAAGGTCAGCAACATTAGGTTTGCCAATGAGTTCCTGCAGAGTTTGCAAAGCGTCTTGGATTTCATTAGAGGTGTTGGAGTAATAATCAGCAAAATCAACCGAGAAAAGGGTGGTCGACAGGAAGTTGAGAACCGTCGTGAAGGCGACCGCCCCGATATCCACCGCCTCTCCGTTGTTAGCGCCGCTGCCGCAGCGAGTTTGGATGTAATCACAAAGTTGTTGCACCTTTTCGTGACGGAGTCCCTGACTGGCATTCAGCCGTTCATTGGAAAGAATGTGTTCTTTCAAGACTTTATGAAGTTTGCGCCATTCTTTGTCAAGCGGTAAGATGATGAGGAGTGGTTGTGGTGATCGAATGCGCGCCACGCGTCAAGCACCAGTCTCCCCGTGAAGGTTTGGTCGTATTTTTGGAACATTTGTTTTGCCACTTTTGGGGATGAAACCATCACCATGGTCTTGCTTAGTATTTTGATGGTCATGATCGGCCCGTATGTTTGAGCTAGTTTTGCCGCCGTCCGGTGGAAGATCCCTCCCACCTGAAACATGTTTCCGACCACCGGCAGCTGCGGAGGTCCCGGTGGAGTGTTTTACGACTACCGCCGCCGCGGCATCGGCGGCGAGTGTAAATGAAACAAGCGGAGATGGCAAAAAGAACGAGGAAGGCTTGAAGAAACTCAACAATAGATGAATAGGGTTCGGCCATCGTGTTCTTTCTAATACGTACCTACCCTAATGAATTAAATATATTAGCTTGCTAGCTAGCTCAAGCTTGAGAGTGGTTTTTGGCTTATGTTTCAATCTTATTAATTTCTCTCAGGAAATGATCCATTTTATAGTCTCATGTTTTGGTCCTCATCCTTTTACAGTAGTTACATATTGATGTGTCTTTTTTCGATCAATCCGGTATGCTCTAACTAAGCAAATTAACCACCTAATACTTGTCCGGCGGGCGAGTGGGTGATGGCTCGCATGGCGTGCTGTTTACCAATCAATCACCAATATTTAATTGGAAAATGGAGCAGCATTAGCAAGCCATCTTGAGAAAACCTAGCTCCCATCTTAGGCTTTTTAAAAAATGAATGTTAAGAAACACGTTGGTAAGTCACATTTTTTTTATTCATTTCCTCTCCAATAATCAGACCTCAATTATTTCAGAGAAATAAAAAAGAAAAATCAGAGCTCAATCTTGTTTGCAAAAAAAAATTTGAGTCAAACTTGTAATGCCTAATAATAAGCTTTGTCTTATATATTCTCCCTACTTGACACACTTTTTTTCCTTCTCCCCAAAGTTCGTCATTTTCTGGAAAGGGCTGCGAACCTTCGACGCCCAACAAAACTGGAACTAGTTAGTGATTTTAAAATGCAAACATACTAATTAACTCCCCAAACACATTTGAATCATTTGATTCCTTCTTTTCTTTTTCTTTTTTTGATTTTCCCCAAAGGGCTACTTCCTAATTATTTAGAGTAATTATTGGGACTAGTCAAGAAAAAGGTACCAACTACCAAGTGAAGAAGTGACTGACTGAACATTTACTCCCTCCATCCCATTATACGATCATGTATCTCACGTTAATAATTTATTTTTTTTTTTGGTATTGTTTAATGTAATAACGAAGTACTTTTCTTAGGATAGATAAAGTGATAGTTTAATTCAGATAATTATGTTCTTCTTCTTTAGAGGAAATGTACAGTTAAGCTCCCTTTTAAAATGGAGTGGAAGTTTGGTTCACCCTCTAATTGATCTCCCATTTTAACATGGAGATCTTGAGTAATACTCCAATTTAGTGTTGTTTGTTGAACCGAGGTCACATCAAGTACTCTTAATTTTAAAATTCTCATTGCGGTCCGATGATTGTATTCCACAATACACCATGTGCACTCTGTCATCCGCCATAACTCAGTATTGGTAGGATAATAATAGATTATTATAACTTAAAATTAAGGAGGACTCATGGCAGAATTAGATCACAGAGTTATTATAATTAGCTACTTAAGTCTCAATTACAAACATTTTTTTACGACAAAGGAGACACATTCTTTATAACTTATTATTATGGAACTACATTACATAGATAAACAACCCCGGTATAAACATCACCTTAGCTCCTTCTATTTTTCTCAAGCACATGACATGGATATTTAACTGAATTAAGTAGTCGTATTATGTCTTGCTCTTTTCATCTCGGAAAAAATAAAATAAAATGAAAAGGGATACCATTTCATATCCTTTCTGGCACGTTTCTTTATTTTGATCTTTTTTATTACGTCTCAGGGTAGGTGAAGCCGCCGCTTTAATTTTTAATATTTCTTAATATTATACATACATATTTAAGAAAAAAATCTATCACCAAAAAAAATTATTTACAAAACCAAAAATCAATTAATCGAAGTATACTAAAATAAAATCAAGAATGAGATTGTGGTTTTTAGTGCAAAGATGTGATAAGTTGACCCTCCCTACTATATACCTTTAGCTCTATAAAACTTAATTAAGCTGACAAAAGAGTTTTTTACCTCGCCTATTCTAGTTTTCTAAATTTATAGTTGTCGGTCCGAAATCTAAATAAGGAGAAAAGTTATTTAATAGTTTTTTATTTCTAAAAGGCTCAAATTTTAAAACTCGTTTTAGCCCCTAAGACCTTAAGCTGTCCCTGTTTCCGAATAACCCTGAACTATCTATTTCTTCTCTGCTAAACTTATTTACCAGGGATAGACAATCCTTCTAGACCATGAGAAAGGGATGCCGTTGCATATCCTTTCTAGTTTCTTTACTTTGATCCATTCTTATTACTTTTTACACATATTTTAAAATCATTGTTCAGTTTGAAATTTTATTTTTAATATAATTTAAATTAGACAATTATTTAGGGACGGAGGGAATACGTCTTTATTATTCCCTCAGTACTTTACAAACAAAACCAATCATGCATGCATATGTTGTTTGTATTAACAATGATGTGGCAATCAACGTTGAATGTACGTTTTGGTTCAACATTAGCACACCAAAAATAGAAATGAAATTCGTAGAGCAAATTAATTAAGTGCAATAATATTTAATATGCTGCGAATAAGGAGTTGGTTCAGTGGAAATGTCACCCTTGCTTCAAGAGGAGATCATGAGTTCAATTCTCCACTCCAATAAAAAGTGAGGAGTTAGTTCTCACCTTGCTTTTTGGTGGGTTCTCGGGGTTTTAAAAAAATGTTTAATATGATGATATTAGCGGGTCAAAGATGTGATGCTTCAAAAGAAAAAAGAAGAAAAACAGTCTCCGATAGACCCACCCAAATGAATCAATTAACTGACATATGTACTACAGTACTATAAAATGAAAAACCAACACAAAAACCTCTATAAGAGTGATTCCCCCAAGACTTTAAAAACTAGTATTAGTAAGAGTGGGTCCGACGACATGTATTTTGATGTGCAAATATTTTATAAGGAGATAATGCTGCTCCAAGTGAATATATTGACGTGCTAAGTTTTATTTTTTAAAAAAAAAAAAAAAAGAAAAAGAAGAGAATAGAATCTCCTTAGGCAGATGGATCGTAGCAGCCCACACAGCTCAACAGTTATATGAATATCTATAAATGCTAGCCTTCTTCTGTCCAATACGGGAATCATATTTTTCCAAGTAAGTCCAGTTTAGTTCTTAAAGAGAAAAAGAAAAAGAAAACCTAGCTATATTCTGTATACTACTAGTACTACAGCTTCTTGAACAGATTCAAAATGTGGAGGCTCCAAGTTGCAACAGAAGCTGATCACGGCCAGAAGAATGGGGATATCAATAACAGTGTTGGAACATGTTTGTGGAAGTTTGATGCCGATGCCGGAACTCCACAAGAGCGGGCACAAGTTGAGAATCTCCGGGATGAATTCCGGCGCAATAGGTTCCATGTAAAGCTAAGCGCTAATCGCCTCTTGAGAATGCAGGTTAGTTCTCTCAACTTCCTATATATTGGGAGTACTTATCCTTCTTTCTGTCGGCTTTAATGTTATATGATCACAAAGTTTTGTTAATTTACTTGTCATACGTACATGTGAGATTTTATGTGGTTTTCGTATCTTTGATGCTTTAAGATGGAGAAAAAAGAGATGACACGGGACAACAGTGATGACACGTACGACATAAAACTCACCAAGGAGGATCGTGATGTAACTAAAGACGTCGTCACTGAGAGCTTGAAAAGAGGCCTTAACTATTATTCCCAACTCCAAGCTGCTGATGGTCACTGGCCATGTGACATGCTTGGTCCCTTGTTCATTGGTCCAACAATGGTATATATGTACTTTCTAAACTTTTCTTTCACAATATACATATTATATGACAAACATAGTGATGCATTTTAATGACCCCATAAATGTTGACACTGACACTTATATATATACATGAATATTCAGGTACTTGCATTGTACATAACAGGCGATCTAAATTTGGTTTTATCATCGAGCACCAGAAAGAAATGAAACGTTACATATACAATCATCAGGTATATAGATAGTATAACTAAGAGAATTTGATATTCAATGTTTTATATGTTGTACTTTTATTTCATTTGACATCGTTGAAGTAACATATTAATCTGGCATGCATGCAGAATGAAGATGGCGGATGGGGACTAAATGTGGAAGGGCACAGTACGATGTTCAGTTCCGTGATGAATTATTTGGCGCTCCGATTAATGGGAGAAAATCTGGAAGAGCAAGATGATACTGAACGAAGAGAAGCTTTGGCTTTGGCTCAAAAATGGATTATTGACCATGGCACTGCAATTGCAATTCCTTCATGGGGAAAGTACTTGTTAGCGGTAAAAACCATCATTTAGAAATGACCAAACTTTAATCACTACTTTTAAACTTATTAAATTTATTACTCCCTCCGTCCCATAATTATTGTCCAGTTTGAATTTTCATTTTTAGTTCAAATTGTATTAAAAGTGAAATCTCAAACTGGACAATAATTTTGAAACAGAGGGAGTATATAAAATGTGCGGTATTAATGATTGTATTTGATGATAAGCAGATACTAGGTGTTTACGAATGGTCAGGCTGCAATCCTGTGCCTCCCGAGTTTTGGCTACTCCCTTCTTTCTCACCCATAAGTCCAGGTTAGTTTCTCTTGCCCTTTGTAAGTGTTCATTGGTGATTTATTTATCTATTTGCCTAAATGAAGCATGAATTTATTATTTGCATGCCTTCCATGCACAGGAAAAATGTTGTCCTTTTGTCGTTTGGTTTATTTACCATTGTCGTACCTATATGGAAAGAGATTTGTTGGAAAGACAACAAAATCAATAGTACGTTGTTTAAGAGAAGAATTGTACACTGAACCATACGAAGAAATAGATTGGATTAAGGCTCGGGACATCAGTGCCAAGGTTCATCTCTCCTCCTTAATTTCCACCTTAAAAACAAACTCTTTCCATTGCATTATTATAAGTTCCATGATTTATTCTTTTTTTTTTTTTTTGTGGCCATATATAGGAGGACTTGTTCCGTCCTATATCACCTATGTTGAAATTTGGGTGGAAATGTCTTTCAAAATACGAATCAATGACAAAATGGTGGCCTATTTCTTTTCTGAGAGAAAAAGCTTTAAAAATTGCGATGGAGCTTGTGCACTATGAGGACGAAAACAGTGACTACGTCTGCATTGCATTAGTGGAGAAGGTAATTATATTAATTATTCTCTCCCTAGTTCATGATGTGTGTATATGATTTTTTTTAAAAAAAAATAAAATGTATATATTGTGTTATGGGATTATTCTGCTATATATATTTGGTATTGATCTATATTCCAAAAATTTGAGAAAGAAAATCCCTTTTACTATATCTTAGATTTTAATGGTTGTGTGGGTTGAATATTACAGGCTCTCTCACTTCTAGCTTGTTGGGTTGAAGATCCAAATTCAGAGGCATACAAGTCTCATCTTCCCCGGATTCATGATTATCTCTGGATATCCGAAGATGGCATGACTTTTCAGGTTATCCATTTTAATAATTTGGAGTGTAGGCTTAATTAATTTTCTTTTATAGCCGCTTTTTTTTAATTATTATTATTATTCACATGAAAAAAAAAAGTTCCTGTTTTTTGTCCTTTGCTCATTTTCTTCATCTATATATCTTATATCTCTATATTTATACTTATTTTTTGGGGAAAAAGAAGATAAGTAATCACAAACCTCTCGATTTTCAGGGTAACACTAGTCAAGTTTGGGACCTGGCTCTTTCTGTTCAAGCTTTTATTTCAAGCGGTTTTGTGGAAGAATACGGGACAACTCTTAGCAAAGCTTACGAGTTTTTGAAAAAATCTCAGGTTGTGCGATATTTTATATTTACAATAATAATAATTGCTTTTAACCCAAAAAAACAAAATAAATAATCATTGTTGTCACCTTAGTTCATAAACTAATTAGATCCACGAGTAATTTAACTAAAATTGGTAAAATATATGATGTGTTTCCCATCATATATATCATTATAGGTTCGGGAAAATCCTTCGGGTGACTTCACCAAAATGTATAGGCATGCAACCAAAGGAGCTTGGACATTTTCAGCTGCCAATCAAAAATGGCAAGTTTCAGATTGCACGGGAGAAGGGCTAAAGGTAATTAAATTTAAACCTATATATGTTGCTTGAATTCCTTCTGGCTCTTTGAACTTAACAATTTTATCAACTACCAATCAGTACATGAATTTGATACGATATGATTTGCTTATCCTCAATGTTAATGTAATTCTATTATTAAGATTCCTAATTTTTCCTAGAAAGGGCATTTTATTAATCACATGATCCGCAATTCCATTTACAGGCAGCTTTGTTGCTATCACTACTTTCCCCGACTATTGTTGGAGAAAAATTGAGTGAAACCAATTTGCATGACGCTGTGAATATAATTCTTTCAATACAGGTAGGTACATGCTTAATCTATTTTGAAACAAAATTATCATCCCTCCTCTTTTATTTTATTTTATTTTATTTTTTTATCACGATACGTAATAAAGATCTTGAACTTCATTACAGTTAGAATATATTTTTTCCTAATTGTTAAGGGAAAAAAAGTAAGATTAGTTTGAGTCAATAATCTGATTATTTTTATTTTTATTTTTTTTTTTATGGCAGAGCCCGAATGGAGGGTTTCCAGCATGGGAACCAGCAAGGGCTTCTCGTTGGGTAGAGGTACTTTTTTTTCTTTTTTGCGTTGGTTATTTTTCATTAATTCCTGGCTATTGACTCAATTTTGGTTATACGTAAATGGTGTGGAAAAAGTAAATAGCAATAATAATATAGTCCTTAGTGCTTGTACAAATAACATCTTGTTTGTAATTTGGATTGTGGAATGTGGGAATTTACGAAAATTGCATACATTTTTCACATCTTAATTAAGGATAAGAAGTTCTACTATATAACATTAATGGGTGAGTTCAAAAGGGATCTTGTTGACTGACTAAAATTTTTTAATTTCTTGTTATGCAGTCGCTGAATCCAATAGAGTTTTTCGAAGATACCCTCATTGAACGAGAGTAAGTATATAGGAGTATATGTTTATTTATTTCCTTTGATTTCTTAAAGTGATCTCAAAATCAAAACTATAAGTCAAAAAACATCGTTTTAATTTGGCCTTGAATTGTTTGGAAAGGTATGTGGAGTGTACATCCTCAGCAGTACAAGCATTGCTACTATTCTCAAAATTACATCCAGGATTCCGGAAGAAAGAAATACAAAAGTGCATTTCAAAGGCTCTCCAGTACATTGAAGATTCTCAAAATTCAGACGGATCATGGTACTAATTAATTGACCTTAATTAGTTGTTGATCCTTTTTAATTGATCCAAGATTTCTCTCTATATTAATTATAGACTTATCAAAAACTCGTTAAACCGATGAGTATTAAATCAACGTTCATAGTTAATTACTTGGAACCGGCCGGGATGCAGGTATGGCCGGTGGGGAGTTTGTTTCACCTATGGGACTTGGTTTGCCGTGGAAGCCTTGGTGGCCGGCGGTAGAAATTACGAGAATTGCTCTTCGCTCCGAAGGGCTTGCTCATTTCTGCTGTCAAAACAACTCCCTTGTGGTGGTTGGGGGGAAAGTTATCTGTCATGTCACAACAAGCGTACCTAATCTTTTTGCGAGTTATTATCAAAATATATTAAAGACCGGAGGGAGTATTTAAGTAAATTAAGTATGCATATATACATATATTGGTTGGATAAATTTTTTTAATCCTCAAATTGTGAGCAGGTCTATACAAACCTTGATGGTGAACGGCCGCACGCAGTACAAACAGCTTGGGCACTCCTTGCTCTGATCAAAGCTGGGCAGGTATTTGTCAAACATTAATTTGGTGATGATTAATTATATTATGATCTGTTAAAAATATTTAGAGAATACTTAAAAACAAAATGTATATATAACAATGCTGATGATATTTGATTTTGGGTTGAAAACATAGTTGGAAAGGGATGCGAAACCCATAAATCGAGCCGTGAAGACGCTGATCAATATGCAAATGCCAAACGGTGACTTTCCTCAACAGGTATATATGTTAATATACTCCAATTCAACCTTGCTAGCTACTTCCCATATATCATGCATGATTACAAATTGTAATTCATTCCAAAGGGAATTTTGTTCTATAAATTAACTTCACCCTTCTCAACTTAGTTTTATTGGTCTTTGGTGATGTAGGAAAATACTGGAGCTTTTATGAGGTACTGCATGTTGAACTATACTTCCTACAGAAACATCTTCCCACTTTGGGCACTTGGTGAATACCGAAGCCATGTTTCTTTCGTTCCATGAATAAATCTGCCAGAATATTATTGGTCATTTATGAGAGACTTCGTCGTGCTCGTTAATTAAAAACAAAATAAAGAATTTGTACAATGTTATTAGATGAGAGTTGCATACATATCTATAGTATTATATTAAAAGAGAAACAGAAAGAGAAAACGAAAACTTCTCCTCACGTTGCCACATAGGATTTTATCCTATGTGACATCCTTCCAATGTATGTCTCAAATATTATTTTAAATAATTATACCAATAGTCCTTCAAGTTTCTCATAATTAAAAGTTTATCAAAACCTAGGTGTAAAATAAAAAGTTGGGAATTGACTACGGATAAGAACTAATCAAATTTAATAACGGGATTAATCAACATTAATGTACTGAAATTTTTCCCCCATCAAATCAAATACAATTCAAAAAAATAATTCCCAAAATAAATTCCAAAATTACCGCTGAATTAATTTAATTCATCGAAAATTTGTTTTGAGCATTAATCGCTTTTAATTTGACTGGATTATATAAATTGTTAACAAGTATTGTACATGCCTCCTCTCTTTCCTCTCATTGACTAATTGATCTTTTTCCAGCAAAACCATCGTTTCTGCCCAATTTCATCAAATTTAGTAAATTCATATTAGAATGGAGAATGTCAATTCCTTTTAGACTTCGATAACTATTTGATTTTGGTAGATTTACGTATGTTTGTTCCAAATTACGTGATGCAATTGTGTTACTTGATTATACTTTATTGGATTAAATATGAATCATCAATTTATAATTTGATCATGGGTTTTTATAATTTGATTTGGGTTTTTAAATAGGGACTATTAGCAGTGGTATTGTTTATCAAAAAAGTTTTAAAAGGTGTTTCATAAAGAAAATTATTTAATCATTTTTTTCCCATATCCTACTCAACCTCTATTAACTGATTTGGTTTTTTACTATTTCAAATGGAGTTTATTACTAGCAGGTAATTATCACGGTTAAAGGAGCACAAGGGAAAATATTTTAATAAAAGACAAATTGTCTAGCCTGAAGTACAAGCGATAAAACCTTTTTTTTTCAATCATTATTAGTAGATACAAATCGTAAAGTCTGTAATGCAGCGATACAACATGAGTATGTCAATCGAGGAGCAACTTGAACTAAATTCAAGCTGGGAATGCCAAATAGTTTTTTCTTGCCAAATAGAAAATTCTGTGTAATTGTTGAATAATTCTTCATACTTTAATAGAATTTTCCTCCAGATCTAATGGATAAACTCATCCATTAATCGGTTTGATTTCAATTGTGTCTTGACTTCTTTTCTCCTTATTAATTGTTTGAAAATTTAATATTTGAGTATTTCTGACCATTCAATCATTATTAATAACCAGTATTTTATTTTCAATTAATTATTCCTGAAAGTTATTGGGTTGCATGATTTTGATGATAAATTTGACCAGCCATTACACCATGATAATTCTTCTTTGAATAAAAAATGATTCGTTTCTTTTCTTAATAAAAATAATAATAATACATTTGCAAATGAAATCATGTATTACGCAGCTTTCCTTATTTTCACTTTCCAAGAATATATATATATGCTATTTTCCATGTACCACATTTTCTTTATTCAAAATTTTAATATTTAATATTTTACCATACTTACACATATGTTACGCACGTATTTCATTTTTATAAAAAAAAATTATAGAAGAATCGTAGTGCGGGTTTAGTGTATATATATATATATATATATATATATATATGTACATAGATATATACATACATAAATACATTGCACTATCCGATCCATGGTACACTCTGTAGAGGCTCTTCCGGTTTTCTTTATTGTAAGGGCTAAACTTTACATATTTGGCCCAAATAAACTGGGGATAAGCAATCCAGTTCCTCACCAATCACATTGTTATGAACATCCCAATCGCGTATCTGATCATTCACTTTATAATGACTAAATCCAAAATACAGGGATCATATACAGTGTAGCTAACGTGTGTTTACTTATTTTAGGATTCAAACTCTTTGAAGCATAGGTATATTTATCGATGTTTGAGAAGCTACACCATCATCTATAACAGGTCACTATAAAAAAATAAAAAATAAAATAAAGGACAAACTGCAACCTAGCTGGCTAGCCAAAATTGAATAAAACCAAACAAACACAACTTTTTAAAAGTCACGGTCGAACATGCCATCTCATCTCAGGATAAAACAATCTAACACGACACGACAAGATTGACCCGATTTGAGTTTTTTATCATATGTTTCTCTAAAAATTTTTATTAATTAACCATAGAAAATACATACAACGAAATTGATCCGATAACTCGAATCGAGAGTCATATCGATTTTGTAGCTTTCCTGCTCATTCTTTTCGTCAAGTCTTGTTTCATTTACGCTCGCCGTTGCCGCCGCCATCGAGAAAACACCACACGAGGGCCTCCGCAACTCCCATTAGTTGGAAACTTATTCCATGTGGGCGGGATTTTCCACAGGAACACTAGCAAGACTGGCTTAAATATATGGGCCGATCATCATGACCATCAAAATTTTAACCAAGACTAAAGAGTGATCAACAGGAATCAGCATATATGGTGATTCCACAATCAGGATTTGATCCTGGAATCACCCAATTAGATTTCTTTTTACTGTATTTTTTGATTATTGTCTTTAATTGTAAATATTAGGAAGTTTGGTCAGTCGGTTGTAAATAGCAGAGAGTTTATTAGTTAGTATAGTATATAAGACATTGTAAATATTTTTCAGAAGATATGAGAGAATATTTCAGATAATAGAAAAATGGTTTTCATCTTCTCTCTCTGTCGTTCTTGAGTTCTCAATATCAAAAATACAATTTGTTCATTCTTGATCCAGTAAATCTCAGTTATGTTTCAATTCTTTGATTCCTTTAAAAACCATCGTGGTCATATCATCCCCAAGGAATTGGTCCTAAAACACGACCATACCTTCACGGGAAGACTAGGGCTTGATTCATTCCGAGCATTGAGAGCTGTTTTGCAATTTCTGAAAAGTAATGATTGCAAGAAATATTGTCGCAGAATTTAGCAATTGAAATAAATAAATGCGTCCCACAATTTGGGCAGTGGTTTTTTACTTTTGGATTTTTTTTTAAAAAAAAATATTGTGTTTGGCGGATAAGATCTAGAATTAAACTGCGGTTAAAATGTCGTTAAATTGATTGGAGTTTTTCATTTTCTAATCTAAATGCCAAATCCTTTGCTTGGATCCTCATAAATTTTATACTATGTGATTGATCTTTGTTCCTTCTATGATACATCACACTTAATCCTACCGTGATAATGAGTTATTTACGTCCAACAGTTAAAACTAGATGACATCCAAAGTATGGAGTGTTCAGCAATTATATGTACAAAGAATTAAATCCACGGGAAGTTCAAAAGTTGGGATGAATTTTAGAACTTCTTAAACTTTTGTACTCTTCCGAAATTATTGTCCAGTTTAAATTTTTATTTTTAGTTCGAATTGTATTAAAATTAAAAATATAAACTGGACAATAATTTTAAGACAGAAAAAGTATTAAATAAAGGACCACATGAAACGATTGCATTCTCGCTTATGAGTTCCGATGTCGAGGCCCCTTACAACATTTTTTTTATTTTTATATATACAGGGGAAGTTTGAGCTTGATTTACAAAAGCGACTTAGTGAGGATGAGTCGATCTATCAAAAGTAAATTTACTTAAGACTAAGTTTGGAGGAGTAAACAAAATATGCATCCCCGGGGCTGAGAAGTCTAGTTTGGCCAACATATCCGCAACTTTGTTGCCTTGTCTTCTAATGAAGGAAATATCTGTGGTCCAGTCCTTTTGTAAAAATTTTTGTATTCTCCATGGTAAGTTGCTGGAATGGGCCGATTGATCCTCGCCGGTCAGCTTTTTTTTATATATACTGGGAAAGCAATATTGTTTAGTTACAAAATACCCTCCTAGGTGTGTGATCAAAAGCTAGTTTAACTAATATCGACGACGGGGGCGTTGCCAAATATGTAGCCCCGCTAAGACGGAGTAGCCTAATTTTTATTAACTTACGGAGGACACAACTGGCCAGTTGGTTCCTGGGTGGCCCTTTCACGGAGTGCTTTGACTGTTTGTAGGTTATCAGTTTGGAGTTGGACTTTTCTGAAGCCCAAATCCCAGGCAATGCTTAGCACATTCGCCGGTCTGCTTTAACCGGCATTGAACTATGCTCAGCTTTAACCGCCATTGAACTATGCATTTGCAACTGAACTTTCCTACAGCCCAGTTGCCAAATTTGCTGCCCAAGAAAGGAAGCCCAGATTTCCATTTCTAAGGCTGAGTATAACATTTCTATTTTCCATCACTGTCTTTTGTAAATAATATTGGGCCTCAATCTAGAGATCATTTTTGTTTTTTAAAAATATTGGCCTAGATATAGAATCTAATTTAGGATGGCCAGAGGAGCAAACATGTGTCCAAACCGTTATGATTCAGCCCGACTAATCCGATCGCATTCTTAGTCGCTGGTCCAATTTGAAAACTTTTTGAATAAGGCCAAATGGATCGATGCACATTTGCAGTGTCGCACAATGCACACTCCTAAAGTTAACAACGCTATTTTTTTTGTCACTAGGGATGGGAGCTGCACGTTGTGCTGCATAAAGTGAGTTGTAGTCCCGTATCCAGGAATGTTTTTCTTATGTTTTTTGTTATATAGATTCATTTTTTACCGGTAACTGTTAGTAGGTTCTTTGCCCTTCTTATGGAGTAATAATGAAATGCCACAACAATAAAGGGTAATTATTACTGGAAAAAACAAAAGCTCAATTTATGTAAACTTACAAACTCTACAATTGTATTTAAGATAAAGTACAACAAGACTGCTACTATGGAGTGAAAGAACCGAGATCTATTCAATATGGGAACAAGTTAGCAAAAAACATATCTGAGCAAAAAAAGAAGATGGTTTACCCTTCTTGGAAACCATAACAATTTTTTCCTAAAAGATTAA